CATTTATTCAGGAGTCAGTGAATACACTCTTTAGGTTTCTCTTGTGGTAATCAAATAATGAGAGGTCTGAGACTGGGAAAGCATTCAGGGGAAGAAGTTTAGACTCTCAGCCCAGATTGCTTATTTCCTTCCCAGTCTGTAAAGCTGTTTTCTTCCTTTCACAGAAACGGTTTCTCTTCTGTGTCATGCAGCTACACATCATCCTGGGGTGTGACATGTGCATGCTCAAAACCTTCTGGTGACAGTAAGCAGAAAAAAAGCTCAGGAGAGCCTGTTCCTGTCAGCTGGACATCATCATGCAGGTACTGAGGGGGTAAGTCCTTGTGCATTTTCCATGGTGAGTTTTTGCTCCTCTGCTTAAAAAGGATTTGCAAAATCTCCTCTTCTGGAAGCAGAGTGTCGTGTTTGCAAATGAGAAACCCTCCTCTTCCCTTTTCTCATCCATTATCAGTGATCTCTGGTGTGAACAAAGCAAAAGAAACCTCAGAGAATAAAAAGCACTGAAAATGCTGCTTTAGGCCACGGAAGTATTTTGCAGTTCCTGACTGCCAGGTTCACAGCCAGAACACAGTCTGTATTTGTGGCCAGCCCTCATCACTTCCTCATCAGCTCCCAAGACACTTCTGGGGCTGCTGGGGCATGCAGGGGACAAGCCCAGGCCATGCAGGGCTCCGCAGAGGTGCTCAGGAGGCACCAGGAGGAACATGTGGTTAGCACCTACATGTTCCTTCACTGGACATCCTGGGTGGGCTTTCCCAGCCCTTCAGACGAGGGAGGGTCTGGGGACCACAGGTGGCAGGAGGAGAAGGAGGTGCTGAGAACTGGAGGCAGAGCAGGCAGCTGCCCTCAAAAGACAGAACTAGTGATGCCAGTGAGTGGAGCTTGCAGAAGGATGTCTTATCTGCTGTTTCAGGAACTGACTGTGATTTCATCAGCAGTCTTGACCAAGGTTGATCAGTTACTTCCAGCACAGCCCTGGCTTTTGGCCACAAAGACACAATGTGCACAGAGCAGACAATGCCATAAAGAGGGTGCTACAAGCGCTGGAATGGGACCCCATAGCTCCTTCTCCTTGTCTTTAGGTACATTGGCCTCAGTGTAACTCACATGAGCTGCATGTTGGGGTACTTGGACCCTTGTACCCCTGCACAGTGCTGCTCTGCATGACCACTGTGCTGTGGGTGGGAGACACAGAGGGGCAAGATCACAGGATAAACAATGTTTAGGGTTGTCCAAACAGTGCAAGGCAACATGGAAAATAACTTCCCAGACCACTTCCCATTATCTTTCTCCAGCCTGCTTAAGGAAAGTAGTAATACTGCAAGAAGCTGTGTCAAATATGCTGTTCTCTGCTGGAACTGGAGATGACTGCAGACCTACAATGACCTTATTTACAATTTTTTTCAGAGTATTTCTTTCTGAATCTTCTTGCCAGCCATTTAAATGCCCACTCCCTGAGTTGATTTAGTGAGGTGTTCAGCCAATCCTCCTGGGAATAAAGCAGTTTTAACAGTGTTTTGCATTCAAGCCAGTATCCCTTCTTCTACCATCATCACCCCAGGATTACTTCACAGCCAGCCAAAGACAAAAGCCTGTGACAAAAGTGATGACAGCAGTTTCCCAGGCTAACATGTCCCAAGGACTCCTCAGCTGGGCACCAGCTTTCCTCTGCAGTGGGGAGTGAAGGGGCTTTCTCCCATAGGCTATCCCAGAGCCCAGGGCATCCCAGAGAATGTTTATGTTGCCAAAACACAGAGTGGAGCTGGGGGTTTCAGTGACTACAGTGCTGGGAGGGCAGTGGTCTTGAAGACTGCTCTCTTCAGGATCAATTAGTCAGCACCACCAAGTGTGTGCGCCCAACCCTGCATGCACTGCCAAGGATCCCTTCCAGAAGGGATGAAATGTGGCTGACAACACCACTGCAGCTGTGAGCCTGCTACACTGCTGAGTGGAGAGCCCTCTTGCTAAGTACCACTAGGAGAGTAATTTACTTGCTGCTGCTATGTCAGAAAACATCATCTGTGCTGTGGTCCCTGCAAATTCATCCTCAGCACTTTCCCTCTGCTCTGCTCTCAGATAATATTTTCCCAGCGCAAGAGGTCTTGCTTCATTCCCTCTATTCCACAGGAATAAAACATAAACAAAAGTACGATATAAACATGTGGATCTCCTGTGTAAGGCTCCATTAACCAATGCTCCTGCAGGGCTGGATGAATAACCCTGAGCAGGGACATTTCTAAGCACACACTGTATGTGCTTTAGAACAAAATAGGAAGTAGCTGCGCTTCAGTCTTCTAACAGCCGTGCTTGAATCAAAGCAGATGATTCCTAGCCAGGGTCAGGTTCACAAGAAAGGGCGAGGTTGCTAGAAAATCAAAATGATAAAGCTTCCTGTTTTTAGAGATAGATTTCAACAATGATTATTGGAAGGAAATGGATGCCTGCTAGCTGAAAAGTACCTCACTATATCTCCTTGCATTTGTGTGTCAAAAGTCACAAACAACAAGTGAATTGTGCTGGAAATGAACAGAGGCTTCCTTTTGGAGTTTTCATCCACGGTAAAATTACTACACACTTACAAAATTAAGGCTGTTCTGGTTTTTGCTGTTGTGCAAACTTTAGGCTTTCTCCTAGGCAACACAGAGTGCCCTTAAGAATTAGAAGTGCTCCATGTCTTATGACTTTCTTTTCCTTATATACACAATGTTAAAACAAAAGACAGCTGTTAATTTCAGGAAAAAGCCACCATGCAATAAATCATTTGTGCTGCGCTATAATACCACTCCTCTTCAGACAGACACAATTGAGCATAAGAGCTGTCTACATTTGGTACTACTTACCATAAGAAGGTATCCTTTTATTTCCAAATATAAGGGAAAGTTGGCTGTACATCACAGAGCCGCTAATCATGATACACACAGGAAGTGAAATCTCATTTTTTATTCTTAGGGACACTTCACCAAAGGCATGACATGCTTTCTGTGTCATAGAAGTAAATAATCATGGAATGCTTTGGGCTAGAAGGGACCATAAAGGTCATTTAATTGTAAGCCCCCTGCCAGAAGCAGGGATATTGCTCAATAGACCAAGTTGCTCCAAGCTCCATCTAATGTGTCCTGGAACATTTTCTGAAATAAGTATGTCCTGATTATTTTTCACCAATGCCACCATGTCCTTTTGTGATACAGGTGGCAGATTTCATGTTTGCTGTGAATTGTGTTAAGTCAGTTGACTGGAAGGTTTTGAATCACCTCTCTGACACAAAGGCTCACCTTGTCAGAGTTGAGAGAAGCAAGGCAGGAAGAGGCAAAGCACCGAGTGTCTTCCTGATTATGCATCCCAGAAACCATTGTACTTTACTCTGGACAGGAAGACACAAAAGCAAGCTTGAATATCATCAGCTCATCTCCCTGGCTGTGATGAACATATGGTTTGATTCAGCACCCAAGGAGCACTGGAGATAGGGCCTTTCCCACAGCCAGGCTGTCATGTAAAGTCCAGGCTTGTCCTTCCAGAGGACTTAATCTGCACTCATATTTAATTTTTGAAGGGTAGTTATAAAACTGAGTGGGCACTTGTCCTTGGAATAAAGTTGGGTTTCATTCAGTCTCTGATGGTTCTGACCAGATCAGGGTAATTATTCATAATGAATTAGAACAGTTATAATAAAATCATCTTGTTTGAAAACACCCAACATGGGACATGCTCTTCCACTAGAAGCTGTAGTAGTATTTCTTCAGTCAGTGTCTCCTCATATAAAAAGCATTTCCTGTTTGTATCTTCAAGACTCAGGGTCACTTGAACACCCAAAGCACCATCAAGTGTCCCCCCAGCTGCAGCAGAGCACACCCTCTCACAGGGCCATAGCACCACAGAAACAGATCCAGAAGACAAGCTGATGAGCTGCTGCCAAATGATGAGGCCTGGATAAACACATTGAGACAGAAGCATGCAGATTTTCATTGCAGTGCTTTGATACAGACTCTAAAATGGTCAGATGCAGAGGGGATCCTGCCTGGATGCATTAGGTCTTTGACAAGACAAGCTCTGCTTTTGTTTTGAATCACTCTGAACAACACAGTAGCACAGAATTCATGTAGGTAAAAAACCCTGAGTCAGCCTATTTGGTTTAATAATTTCTCAGGCGCCGGAGGTAAGCTCCATTAATATCTCTGTGGATTTTGAGGGAGATAAGATTTTATGTGCCAGGTGCTGCAGAGGATTTAGTGATCCTCTTGATTTCAACAGTGATACAGAAGGTGGTACGAACAGTTCTTTGTTGAGTCTCTCCTCCTCGTCTGTTTTGGGAGGCTGAATTTAAGTTCAGTGTCACCTTGAATCTATTTATTTCAGGGTATTTGTTATACAAGTAGGTAATTGGATACAAAGAAGGTACAAAGAAAGTAATTTGCATAGATCTGATGTTTTAGAAACAAGAGTACTTATGAAATGGTGTGAGAATTCAGGGTCATGGTTCATCTTCTGGATCAGTTCTAAAGTTCAGATTTGGAGCCAGGTGCTCTTTTCAGACCATTTGCTAGGTTTAGCACATGGGAAATATAGTAATTGATAAAACATTTAAGAAAACATAACAAGAAGTCCCAAAAGGTCTTTTTCAGGTTTATTTACTTTTCCAAAAATGTCTTCATATTGGGAGAACTCCTATGGGCTTATAAAAAGTTTCTCTGCATTTAAAACACATTCCAAATAAAAGCTTGTGTAAGGAAGAAAAGGTATGTCTGGAATATTTGCTGCTATTGGAGAAATTCTGGGATTATGAGGTGGACCATTTCAAGGCAATCTGTTTTATGTTGGAAAAGGATGTGTGGCCAGATGTCCTAAGGACTGTGGGAACTATTAAGGTGGTTTAAAGCAACCTTTGCCTGTTCAAATCCCACACGGAATTCAGCAACTATTTATGAGCATGCTTATAATGCTAAGTAAAAGTGAAGCAGGGAGGACACACAAGACTGCATCCTCTTCACTTGCCCTGTCTCATTTTTAAATCACCTCCAAACCCTGATTTGGGCCATTCCAACAGAAGAAATTCCTTCTGGAGTGGAACATGAGACTTGACTTGATGGTGAGAGACAAGCTCCTGGACTTCCTTTATGCAGTCATAAAGCCACAGTATCTCAGCCAAGTTGCAAAGCTCATCCAGTCCCATGTAACCTAAGCATATTTAAACAAAGAAAGAAAAAAAAATAATTCAGAACACTTAAAGCTATCAGTAAAACTGTACTTTCATCATACATGGAGCTTGTCTCTGTAGCTGAGTACCATCCAGCTGGTCCATTGTGCAGAGAACTGACCTGGTAGAAACACCAGATTACTTTGGAGAAGATGACCTCCATAAGCGTGGGATGCCCTTGATATATTCTCTCCAACCTCAACTATTTTGTGATTTAAAAGCCTGTGAAAATCTCTTTGTCCCAGAACACTTTATACCTTGTGGTATATGCTTGTCCATGCTATTCTAATTCTGCTCCAACAATTTGTGTTTCACAGCTGGAATAGCATGAACTTAGAACCAAAAAAATGAGGTAAACACCTTGCTGGGAACCATGTCTTATTCAACAGAAGTGCTATTTTATGTCCAGACTGTGTCCAAATCACACCTGATTGCTGGTATATTTTTCTGATACTATTCAACACAGGATCATGATCAACAGGCAAATGGGAACTGTAACTTTTCCTGGGAAAGTCAGCCAAGGCCCCAAAACAAAGCTGCCAGCCTGCTCATTCTTATAAAATATCTTTGTTTTTCAGCTCTGATCCAGTAAACTGGATTTTCTGCTACGCTCAGCACCAAATTTAACTAACCCTGAAATTGCTGCCACTTTCTGGCCACTGGACTTCAAGAACTTTTGTCTGTGTTCTGGTAAGGTGGACCAAGGCCTGGTATTTTCAAGACATAAGATAGTTTCCTCTAAACTTGTGGCCATGGACAGATGTGTGTACACACCAGGAGGCCAAGCCTCACTGAAGAGAGAGTAACATCAAAAGACATTGATACAACCATCAGTCTGCCTGAGTTTTTAATAGACTACGACCCTTGTTTAGAAAAAGAAAAGAAGCACTTCTGCAGGCCAAGCACATCTAAATAAACACCTGAAACTCAAGAAGTTTGGGTTTGGAGCAGGGCATGTTTGCTTCACAAAGAATCCTGGAATCTCTTGGGACAAGGTGAAGTGAGATTGCATTTCTTTATAGTCTTGTTTAATATAGCTGAAGGGAAATGTTTTTAGGCTGCAATATTAACACTTCAGGAAAATAAAAAAAACAACAGAGGGCTAAAGTGTGCATTGCAGGCTGGGGCTAAAACTTGCTTAAACTTTGGGGTTCCCTTCACCTAGGATTTCCTAAAGATCCTGAACAGTGATGATGCCAATGTGTTTCTGATCATGTGTATCAGCTTGCTAAGACTGTGTTTTCATGAGTTAATGCTTTGAAACCACCAGCAAAATTTTTATTTACTAACTGGTTGTGACCTGGATGCTGGTTGTCTAGAATTAGGTAAGACCAAACAACTCTCAGGTGACCCAGCACAAGCAGGAAGAATGTCAGGAGAAAATATTACACTGGGATTTTGGAACAGTTATACTGAAGGCAGTTGCACACCAATGGTATAAATTGTATTTAGCACCAGCTAGCTGGAATGAGCCTATTTTGCCATGCACACTCTGAGTTGTGAGAAGAATGGCTGGCCATTAACATTCACTACATTCCTTCTTTTTGTATTCTGAGTTGTCATGAGACTTTTATATAATTTTACACATAAAAGTTGTTTTGTGGGTTTGTTGGTCAGTATGGCTTCCACGTAAATGATCTTTTACAAAAGCTACTTTCCTCCCCTACACAGGCTATTTAAGCTCACTGTTTGGTTGTACTTTTGAGTAATTGTTACTTTTAGGATATTAACTATTTCATAGGAAGAACATTTCTCAATCATTATGATGAGTGTGTTACATGTATGAGGTAGCCCATTCTCAACAGCAGGGATGGTCGCAGCTTCAGCCAGGTGGAAAATAACTTAGACTTCTAATAAATTGAATGACATGACCACCTAGCTAGTCCAAACTATTTTTGGTCCAAGCAACAAAGAAACAAACAATCCCCTCCCCCCCTGCAAAAAAAAACCAAAAAAAAACCAAACAACAAAACCCAAACACCCCAAACAAACAGAAACCCCCAACCTAAAGTAAAAGAAGAAAGATGTCTGAGGAGGCCTCCACCAAGATTTCTGACAGACTGGTCTTGTGTGGGCAAAAATATACCTGGGAAACCAGTTATGTTTAAGGGCAAGGCCAAAATGAAGAGGAGGCCCTTGCAAAGGGCAGCCTGAACTCCCAGAAGGGAACTGCCTTCATTTGTGACAGATGACAAGCTAAATTTAGAATTAGGAAGTTTACTTGAGAAGCAAGTAAGTAAAGGACTCCTCCAAGTCATTAGCTAATATGGATTAGGGAGAGAAATACTTTAAACTCCTGTCCTTGACACCAGCTGCAAACCCCCACTAGGAGAAATTCAGAGACATTTTCTTGTTCCAAGAAGCAGTGGCACTGCACAAATGATAGTCTTCAGACTGTGACTTCAGCATATATTGCTAATTTGATACATGGCAAACAGATCATTTATGATCTTAGGGTGCTCAGCAATAGTTTCTCACCCAAAATTCCAGCAAATCCTGGAGTTACTTAGAGCTGTGTCATTATTTACCTCATAAGGGTAGTGGCAGTGGGAACTGATTTTCAAGTAATGAGAATTTGGGGTTTCTCCTTAGTTTTGATTTTGCTTTTGGTATTGATCTTTTAAAAAATACTTCTTGTGCAGATTATTTTGCAGCAAAAGCAAAACTCCCAAGCACTACCCAGACTCTGAACTGAAGATTAGTTTGATTTCTCTTCTGCTTTTTAGCGGCCACTGGGATTGCTTTTACTTTTCAAGAGGCAAAGCTGAACAACTGTTGCAGGGTATTCATTCCCAGCAAGCAACCTGCTTTTAAAATTCAAGCAAACATGAGTCTCCCCCAGTGTCTGTGAATTCCAGACATCCAGCTGGGTGCTGCTGATAATGAAAAGGAACTGACAGCTATGTCCCAGCTGTCCCAACACAGAGTTAACTTCTCTGCTTCATAAAGAGAAAACCAGCCCCAAGCCTGTCCCAAGGTGGAGAGGGCTGATTGGACATTAGAAATGGGACCTGGCATAGGTGAAAGTAGAGTAGCAAGTGGTAAAGTAAGAGAACTTTCAATTTAAGAGAGAAAAAAAGCAGTAAGCTTTTCAATGTTGAGTGAAATATGAAGCAATCCATCAATTTCACATGCAATATATTTCTTTCCACTTGCATCCCTGCCTGCTGTACTCTTCTGAACTAAAATACCATCAGTGGGGCTGGATGCACCACGGGGCGTGTTGAGAGGATGATTTCCGTGGACACAGGGCGATACCTCTCCAGCAGCACCAGGCTCCAGCAGCAGTGTGTATCCATGGGTGGCACTGAGCGTGTACAAAGGTGGTTCTCTGTTCCATCAGCTGCTCTGCATGTGACAGGGGACTGTTTCAGAAACAGGAGTGCCTTGTTTATGCTGCCCTGAGGATGAATGAATATATACTTACTTAGTAAGATATCCTCACGTTGAAAGTCCAGCTTTTCAGCCATGAGGAGTTAAAACTGACATGGCCTTTCCAAAAGAATTAGCAATTTTAGGGTTGTGTCCTTGCCCCTTCCTTCCAGTTTTAGTGAGTAGTACATGCCTGCCCTGATGTCTCTCAGTGCTTTTCATTTACCTCTTTGTGGAAACAGCAGGGGTTTGGTATGGTGTGTGGTGCAGCCTTCTTTCTTCCTTGCCAGCTGATTGCTGCTCTTAAGGCACACAGTGCAAACCTGCTAATCATAACCTTCCTGTACCAGCTGTTTTTATGAGTCAAGAGCTTGCTGATGGGGCTGCAGCATCCCTCAAAGATACTGCAGCCTCAGTTTGCTGTGCTGAATAATTTTTCTATGTGAATTAAGCCTTAATTTTTTAAGCTTCTAAAAATACCCTCTTTTTTTGCATTTTCTCTAGCTGTGACCCCAGCAGAGACATTTTTGCATGGCCTGATTGCTTCTGTTCCCTAATAATTGTCTGGTAATTGATTACCTGTTGCTGGTGAATGTTTGCTAATAATGAGCACAATAATAACTAGGAGAACACTTCTTCCCTGTAAGCATGTAAGACACCTATAGTAAATATGGAATAACATCTAGTGTATAGAAACTTTTTGAATTAAATACTAATGCAAGGTAGGGGTGGTTTTAAATTATCTGTCCATGGCATTTTAAGAAGCAACTCAGCATACCTGCAATAAGGAAAAAGTATTTTAGACCAAACCCTGAAATTTTTCATGTCCAAGGTGGTAAATTTTGTCTTCCTTGACAAATGACATTGATTCCAGTAGTCTCTACTGCTTTAATGTTATTCCACTTTCATACCTGCTATTAGCATGTCCAGATCAATTACAACAAATCAATCCAATGGCACAGTACGTTCTAGAGGGAACAGCTGACACTATGAGATGTTTCCACAGAAAAAACCACACCATTGACAGGCATAGAGAAATCTGGGGAAAACTGGCCAGGAGCCAGGGAATATGGTTTTATGGCCAGCTCTCCTTTCTACAGAGGTTGATGATGGCTGCATCATAACCCAGCTGTGAGCAGCTCATGCAAGGTGTGTAATGCAGTCTTGTCCCTTGTCTGATGGAGCACAGAGGGTGAAAGGAGGTGCAGTGGAAATTTAGAGCAGGAGATCCACCCTCTGGTCACTAGTTTAGCCCATGTACACACTTTCCTACACAAAAACACTCTTTTGCAATTCTGCCTCACCATTGCAGATGCCTGGTTCCTGTGGGGCAGGGGGAGGAAGTAGAATTTTCTGTCTTCGTCTCAGAAACATGGTTAACTTCTGAAGGATTTTGTCTTTACTACCTAATGTGCCCATTGATATCAGAGTGCTGCATTCCCTTCTGTTTTGCACACACTAACACAGGATTCAAGAAAACATCTCTATGTTCCAGGCCTGTGCTTTTTTTCTCCTCCCCATAATCATTTCAAGCACCATATAATCTGTGGTACAGAAATACATCTCCTTAGGTGCAGGATGCAATACTCTGAACGTGAACAGGCTGCCAGGGAAGGGACTGAGTCACCACAGCTGGAGGTATTTAAAAGATGTAGATGTGTTTAAGGACATGGTTTAGTGGTGGACTTGGCAATGTAAGTTTCACTCAATGATTTTCACAGTCTAAATGATTCTGTGACCCTGTTATTCTGTGCTGTGCATAGAACATGAACACATAGATGCTGCCACTGCTGATATAGTCCTTTCAGTTCTTTAAGCCTAAATTAAGACTTTTATGTCTTTTGCAGATTTATTAACCATAATCTTGTTTATCTTATTTTCCTTTCCATTGCCTTACCAGTGCACCAGAGCTGATGCATAGATGTCAGCATGCACCAAGGAGCAGATTTATGTCACAGAACACTTCCCAGGCAGCAGTGGCATGGTGGAGCACAGATGAATGAAGGAAGCTACACTACAGTACAAAGATCTGAGCCTACTATCACACTAATACCTACTTTCACTGAAGATACATCAAGAGCAGGTGCAGACAAAATGTGAGTGAGGGGGAAAAGAAACAAAGCATCACTATCCTGAGTTTGGCCCTCTGGTACAGCCAGAACCAGTGTGGAGGTATTTGGACATGGGTTACCGAAACATTTCACCAAAAGACAGTGGAGAATTGCTAGGATCTCAGGTTAGTGGGGTGTGAGGACTAGTGATGAAAGCTGTGGGGCTGGTGGGACTGACCACAAGCAAGACTTAGAATCTCTTTCCACACAACTCACTTTCTCCTATTCCCCATCAGCCTTTGAACTAAAATACAATATACACTGGAATTTCAAAATGAGAAGAGCAGTGGGATACTACAAGGATCCCCTCACCGTTTCTAACAAATCCATCTCTGATTCATTAGTTTTGAAAGTAACCCATGGGAGGAAAGGAAAAGTGAGATGATAGGTGATGCAAATCATCTGCCTGAGGATAGGGTCAGGGTCACACTGGAAAAAGAGTTCTTACATATGGCCTGTGTTGAAACACCAAGGTTAATAACCTTAGAGAATATTTAATGTATCCCTTAAGCAGATGAAATAGACACAAACCCACACGCTGTTCAGATAAAGCTTTTGTGCAAATATGACCTCCTATTCAGAATGGTGTTTTGAATATGATTATTTATTTACACAAATATTTACAGCGCTAGTGAATTCTGTGAGGATCCTGTTGAACTAAAATCTACTTGTAGATTTGTTAATGAATAGCAAAATAAACATGGTTTTAGGCACTGCCTCAATTAATGAGCTGTCTTATTTCCGGTACTCTAATACCATATTGCTACATTCACCAAATACATTGAGAGGGTAATAAAAGTGATTAATGAGCTATAGCAAGTGACTTATTAGAAGGAACTAAATATATCAGTCTTGCTGACTCTGAGGGAGCACCTGCAAATATTTATAAAGGAAACTGAGTTCTTAAATGTGAGAATTACTCCTGAACAAAGGTTGTACCCACCCAACAGCATCATTGAGGTTGACAAGGTGTCTTCTGGATCACCACACCAGTACAAATGAATGATGATAGTGCTGCCAGACTTCAGTAGAGATAAAGGAGTTATTAACCTGGTGCCAGTGCAGGGATAAGCTGGTAAAGAAGAGGAAAAAACACAGAAGTTTAATGGCAGAAAAAGTGTTCTTAAAGGTACCGTATATGAAGATTCCCCCAGGTGAAGGAAAATTCCTATCTTTAGGGTAAATGAAACAACTGGAAGGTCTGTTGTCTAAACTGTGATGGCAAGAAGATGGTGAAAACTGCCAAATATTTGTTGATATCCTCTAGCTCTAACACTTTTATGATTCCACAGCCTTTCTGTGACATGTAACAGTCAAAGTTACTTCATACAGCCATGCAGAACCTCAGCTTCAAAATGATGCAAAAGTTCTTAGAAGAGATTATACATTTTTTGTGGCTCATCTCTGTGGTTCCTCACCCTTCCCTGGACTATCAAAAGCCTGGAAAATGAAGGCTGAATTCAAGCTAAAAAATATCTAGGTCACTATCTAGCAAGTGCAACAAGGAGTTTGTGAAGAGAAGCCGTAAACTTTCTGTGTCAAAATTTAAGCTGCAATGATAATGCAGAGAAACGTAGACACGCCTGGAGATGGAAGAGTGAAGAAGGAAGAACTTGTTCATTCTCTCTAATATCCTCCACTCTGAATTTTACATTTCCATAGATTCAGGTTTTCTAGATGCATAGGAGTCTCCTCCCATGTTCTTGCAAGTCATATTATTGCCTATCCCAGAGCTACAGGCTGTGATGTGTCCTTCCTTTCTGTTTGTTTTCAGCTGAAACAGGAAAGCAGGCAGAAGTATGCGGCTGGCACTCAGAGGAGCAAAGGAAAACACTTTTATATTGTGCCCACAGCTTTTAATTAAGGCTCCAGCAGGATCTTTCTGCACAGGGACCGAGATTACTTGGTACAAAACTGAGAGGGTGGGATGTGGGGAATAATGAATCCTAAAACACACAAAACTGTATTCATGAAATCAATTTGGGCTCCTGGGAGGCCAGGGAGCTTTATGGAAATGAGGCGACCAGTAAAGAAACGTCTAAAGACTCCAGGAACAATGGGCTCCGCTTTCACAATCTGTCTGGGAGGCAAAAACCAAGTGCAGGGCCTCGGTGCCTGTGGCTCCTGCAGCATCTCCCTTGTGCTAGCTCAGCAGCTGGCCCTGCACAACAGGGATCTCTCCTTCGGGAGAATGACCCAGAGAGGCAATTTCTGCGTGACCGAGCGTGTACACTGCTGGGGCTCCGGCAGTCATTTTTTTTTCTCTTTGTTTGGTTTGGGGTTTTGTTTTGTTTTGTTCTGTTTTGTTTGTTTGTTTGTTTGGTTTTTTTTGCTTGTTTGGGGTGGGGTTTTTGGGTTTTGTGGTACCACCACCCCAAATGGCTTTTGACTGCCAGACTAAATAATTTCTGCCCCCCCGTCCTCACCCCCTCTTTCTCCTTTTACAATCTTATATTGTTGTGGACAGTTACCAGGGTTTGTCTTGTCATTGTCTCACCAAATGTAATGCTAACACATATTTTGTGCTCTGTAGTTTTCTACCCATGCCATTTACTAGTCACTCTCATTCTTGGTTTTTTTCTTCAGAATTTTCTCTGCTTTGTCCGAGTACTTTTCATGTGGAGGCGTTTAAGGCTGTGTGTTATCTACCATAGCAATTGTAATGTGAATTGTGAGAGTGAGAAACTGTTAAATACTTCAACATTAAATTAATTGTAGAGTATCTTAAAATGTGTTCTAGAAAACATTTTGGAATACCTTGAAGCAGTAGACCCCAGACACACTTCCCAGTTGGCAGGTAGAGATGAACACAGCTAGCAGGTCCCACCCAACTTTTAGATTGGGAACTGGATCAACACAATTTTGATTTTGGTGCCACTCCTGCTCTGTGTACCTTGCTTCCCACAAAAAGCAGCCCAGTGTTTTCCCACAGATCTCCCAGTGAGGCGAAGCAAGGGGGCAGGACTGAAGGGCAGAGGGGCTTGCAGGGAGCCTCGCTCATGGAGGGCTCAGGGCTTAGTGTGAGCTGAAAGGGGGAAGGAAAATAAAGGGAAGAAGACAAGGTTACAGCAACACATCTCTGGGTGGTACAATGTTGGTGGGTGGTAGAACTCTAGTGTCCAAGCTAAATTTTTCTCATTAATATGGTGTGACTGGCTATTGTCAAAAAGCTTAACTTTGTGGTGACTGCTGGCAAAATATTTGGGAATGTGGTGAAGAGGAAAATGCTTAATTTATAATCCAGCACGGCAAAGAAGAGTGTGATTTAATGCATTGTGTAACAAGTGGACAAAGCATAGTATAAGACAATGCCTCAAAAAATAGTCTTAGACAAACAGATGTAAAATACAGCCTGGTTACCTGACTTACACTCATACTATTTAGTCACGACCAGGACCAGAGATGTTTAAAATCTGAAAGGCAAACATTATTTAAGAGAGGGCAACAAGTGTGATTTCAGTTGTGCAACTACACAGTTGTATATTGAGACTATCCTCAGTGTTCTCTCCTGGCTTGATGGCAGGAATAAAAGCAGAAACAGGAGCTGGATGTAGCAATATCTAGCTTCCCCTCTTGCAGCAGATTCAAACTTTTGACTGGGCGGAAGTGTAGAGGAGTCGAAGGCAAATGTACCTCCTGGTATCCCCTGACTCTGAGTACTGCATTTCATTTGCAGATTTTCTTGTCAGCCATGCATGTGCTAAGCTTCAATCCTGTCCTATATTCTCCTCCATCCTGCATGCATTGTATACAGAAAGCTTGGATGAGAAAAGGATGAGTGATGAAATAATGCTTCAGCTCTTCTCCAGTTCCTCAGGTTTTTCACTTCCCTTCTAACAATATGGAAACATTATTTTTACTGTCTTTATTGAAAAATCCAGAAGAAAATTTTGCCAAGTCCTTCCAGTACTGGAAACTAGCATGTTGGCTCAAATCCAAAACTGAATACAGTTTTGTGAAGTCAGGCTGAGTCCCCAGAAACTTGGTTCCTCTTGCTACAAACATAAAAAGTTGTGATCTTGCTGCAACCAAAATCTCACACATGTTCCTACATTACTTAAATGATCTTAAAATTATTCTCAGTTATCATCTTTAGATCATCTTGTCCTAGTTTGTGCTGATGCCTAACCTCTTTGCAACCAAACATCTTGGATAAAATGCTGAGGTGAATAAAAAAACAGGGTGTAGCCGATGCTGGGCTACCCAATATAACCGGATTTATTATTCAGGTAGCTTTATGAAAATCTGTTTCCAGTAGACTTTTGTCCTCTGGCTGATTTACATCTAATGAGGATCAAATTCTGATCAACTGTTGGCTTTGTGTGGGGTTTTCACAGCTTCATCTTCTGTGTATTCACTCTGCTGTGGTAGGGCCTGACTTTATAAGCTCTGACTGCAGCCTTTCCCTCTGTTGCACCATGGCCTTCCTCCTACATGGATGAAGAGCCTTCTCCTCCCAGCCACTGGCTTTCATGAAACTGATTTTGTTGACACCTCTGCCCCCTTACAAATTTTGTTGGCACCTGTGAATGGGCTCAGATCTCAAACAGTCAGGCAGAGGCAGATGGAGAGTTACACACATACAGTGTGGTTGCACAAGTGTTATTTCCTTTGGAAACCAGACAGAAGACGAAATTCTCTCAAAGTGCAATTTATGAGCCTGTGTATTTTCACTCTTTGGCTGTTTGAATCCATGGTGTCCAATCTGAATAAAATGAATCAGCAATCCTTCTTATACTGTGCTGTTTTGCTAGTGGTGGCCTTGTGCAAAACCACCATTTAGAAAAAAGATACACATACCAGAAGTGTATCTTTGTCTGGGGGAACTAAGCATCAGTAGGTGTTAATCCATGCTTTGCTAGAGAAGCTTTGTTCAATAACAGTGATAAGTGCAGATTGGAGACAGACTCCATGCCATTTTTACAAGACATATTATTTTGATGCCTTATTCACTTAATGGTCACAGAAGATCATAGGATGATCTTATATATCCATATATATCCATATATATCCTATATATCCCTATATATCTTATATATCCATAATATCCATAGTAATGTTATGTCACATATTAAATCCTTGCTAACCAAACTGTGAAGTCAAGCATTATTATTTCAGATGTGTCCTGACTACTAGAAGCTACTAATTCTATCTTGAGACTAATGGCCTTTCTTCTATACAAATGAAACCTAGCTATGCCTACTTTTCCCTAAAACAAACAAACAAACAAACAAACAAACAAACAAACAAAATTCTTCCCAGTGATACCAATATCTCTTCCTTTACTTGGTTGTCTTGCATTTTGGCCAGATGAACTTCTTTGACATTAGAGTTCCTGTGAAGCTAATAGAATCCTTCTATTAATCCCTATCCTTCTTTTAAGTATTTCCATCCCTAAACCATGCATACCTTTGTTGAAAATTGGAAAATTATGCAGGCAATTCTGTTAGCAGACCACCAAGAGCATGGCCTTCACTTGTGAAAAGAGCTGGGGAACATGCTTTGTCAGCAACCCAGTGTAAACAATCTCTGTTATTTTATACAGCATCTTTTTTCTGCTCTGGAAATAACAATGTGAGTTTTGTTCGTGACTGTGTCAGGATTTTGCTTGTTTGTGGCTTTTTTTTAAGTCACAGCACTTCATAACAATCTCCAACTCTGCATTTTACTCCCTAGCACTTTCATCAAAAGCTCCAGAGAGTGTGCTGGAAGTACTTTTCCCCACAAGCTTTCTTTTTGATTAGAAATTCATGCTTTCAAACTGAAAATCACCTCTGTTCACCAGAGGAAAGAAATAATTTATGGCCAGGTTCATTTAGCAGTGTCTTCTCACGAGCAAAGATGAAACATTTTGTGAAGGAGGGAGTTGCCCTCCCTGGCATTAGGGGTCAATGCTGAAGCTTTGCTAAGAGCTGGCCTGCACAAGATGCCACTATTGCTGTTTCCAGAGATGCTGGGGACTCAGGGACATGCTCTGCTACAGACCACAGCTCCCCTCAAGCTCTTATTTTCTCATGAAACCTTTGGTTATGAGCAGAACCCAAA